AAAACTTGTCTCTATAATTGGATCCGTTATATAACTCATCTATTTGTGCAGAATATTCCTCTATAATATCGATCACAAAGTCTATGTCAGCGATTTCTCTCATATTCTTTTGTCGGTAAACCAGTGAAACACTATAAAGTGTCCTGTACACAAAATCGTATAAATCTCGTTTCTTATAATTATATTTACGTAGAAGTGGTGTGTCGTAAAATATTGCCAATTTTAGTGTTATTTTTCCAACGTTTTTTAATACACGATTTGTTACCACTAAATTTCTGGGATGACCTGTTCATGCAAAATAAATATAGAATTATATGAATGAATTATTTTTGTAAATTATACCAGGTATTTATTAACTCCGATTGAAGTTGACATATTTTTAAATATTATTACTAACTTGTTTTTGTACCACAAAATCGTTCACCTTTTCTAAACGATTCCACAGTAATAATAATCGACACATAAATTATTAACTTAAAAATGTATAGACACATTTCAATAGATTAATATCAATTATTTTAATATACTTTATAATTTATAATTGTGAATAACTTACAATTATTTTAATCTCAGTTATTTTCATTTTCAAAATGAGCTATTTATTTATATTAACGTTAATACATTTACACAATTTATTTATTAATATCTTATATAAATACAAATTACAGTAATTGCAACTCAGATGTCATCGAAATTAAGTTTTTAATGAAATTTAATTAAAGTAAATATTATATTTGAACGCTATTCTAATATTACTTATAATATTTGATATTATTTTTTAAAAATTATAATTTTTTTAATTTGTCAATAAACAAAAGTTTTTATATTAAATATAAATTATATATATATTTTATTAATTCACTTTGTAATTGTATTTATTACAAACTTGCATTGATTGATATTAGTGCTTAGTTATATTAGGAACTGTAATTATTAAAATAGACTAAATATAAAGTATTGAAATTCATTTCAAATGAAAATATAATCAATGAAACTGTAAATAGGTATTTGACCTAAAATTAATACAAACAAAAGTATAATAAACTAAAGTAATATAAATTCTTAGAAACTGTAATTATTTATTAAAAACGTATTTTTATAACTTATTTAATTATTTTGATAATTTAAAAGCTTATTTTAGCAAAGGGTGGTGGTGGGGCCTAGAGTGGTGTAGCGGATAGAGTGTCTGCCTTACAATAGCTAAGTTAAGGTTAATCAATAGGAAGGGTACAGAGACGTGTATAGGGGGACATGAGATCGCATCCCAAGCGGGTAATAATTATTTTTTATTAAAAGTTTGTTAAAAAGTTTTCAAGTACTTTATATATAAAACAGTTTAAGAATTGAACTTTAATCTATTAATATGTTTTTCAAAATATTATTTCAAAATTTTAATAAAATTTGATTCAAATCATTATTATAACCAGTTCAAAACAGATACCTGTATTAATTTATAGATTAAATAAAAAATTTTATTTTCTTGGACTCAATTCAACAACAAACAAATGTTTTTATTTTTCATTTTGATCAACAGATTTAATGTGAAGTTCATGTGAACTGACAGGGTTTGCCATTATGTAGAAATTCCTCATTAGTAAAGTGCCAATTATACATAATGAACATTTTTTATAATGTTTTAGAAAATTTTAAATTAATTAATCTATTAAGATATAATTTTAAAACAAATATTATAAAGACAATTGAATATCTACATTAAATAATTTAAATATAAAATACTACTCGTAAAATTGACTAAAATCCAACTGGAAGCTTTAATTATAAATATGTTTATGACAATTAATTCAATTAAAGCAACAAACAAAACCGGTTTAAAGCTTAATTAAAAAAATAATTGAACTTAATTTCAATATCTCAATATTTAACATATATTTTTGATTTTATTGAAATTGCTTTTGTTTTTGAATGACTTTGAAATTAACATTTCAATGCAAGACATTAAGAAAGACCAGTAGTTTCTCAGTACAATTCGCTGCTTATATTAATTTGTATTTTTTACGACATTTCTAAACAACCCTTCNTGAACTTAATTTCGATATCTCAATATTTAACATATATTTTTGATTTTATTGAAATTGTTTTGTTTTTGAATGACTTTGAAATTAACATTTCAATGCAAGACATTAAGAAAGACCAGTAGTTTCTCAGTACAATTCGCTGCTTATATTAATTTGTATTTTTTACGACATTTCTAAACAACCCTTCAAACTATTGAATATAAATTGTCTTTTATCTAAAATGCATTTCAAATTAATTAACACTTTTTATGTGATACTACTGTTTGTGGCGATTGATGTTAGCCAACAGTACTGTTCAAAGTTTGGTCGACATCTCCTGCAACACCAGTGCGTACTCACACCGGAAGGCACTGAAGGGCCCTATTATTTGTCCACAAATTTAATCCGAAAAGATATTCGCGAAGACAGAGATGGAGTTCCCTTGAAGTTGAAGTTCACGATCACTGATGTGAACACTTGCGAGCCGTTGACTAACGTGTCGGTCGACATATGGCAGTGCGATGCCGGCGGTAAATACTCGGGATATGAACACGCGGGACCACCTAAAAGTGTACTCCACGCCCAACCTACGGATGACACCACTTTCCTCAGAGGAGTTCAGTTGACCGACAAGAACGGAGAAGCAGAATTCATGACTATATTTCCAGGTATTTATCATTTATATATACATTTTTTTGTCATTTTATAATAACTAGTACCGTATTAGCGGGATTTTTTTCAAATAGACTTTTTTCATATTAGAAATTATATCAAATGAAATATTTTTATACTGAATGTAATAGGTTGGTATGGGGGTAGGACTACTCATATACACATCCAGGGTCATATAGGAGGCACAACCATATACACGGGGCAATTATATTTCAATAATCAACTCGTGAGACGAGTGGCCCGTTATAGTCCGTATAATATGACAAAAACGCACCGAAATACCAATGAAGGCGACCATATATTCCGGAGAGACAGGGGTCGGGACACCATTATCTCCAAAATTAGACAATTAAAAGGCAAAAGACTTTCTAATGGTTTGTCGGGAGAAATAATTATCGGTTTGGATCCAAATACTGAGTCGCCGAATGCACTCTATGGGAGATCATCCAGATAATTTACAATTGAGTTCATGATTGTATGCAAATAATGGCAAAACCCTAATTTGAATTAATTTTTTTTTCAATTAAATAAGTATAAATTTATACTGTATTTATGATAAATAAATAAATAATGGTTTTGTAAATGCTATGAAAATTATTGTCATAATTATGAATAAGATTCTTATCAGTGTATTTATTCAGGATTTATTTAAAGTTTTTTTTATTATTTTTGCGAAAATAATTTATAATATATTAAAATTCTTATGAATTGTGTCATTACATCACAACCTGTTTTACAATTTGTCTTACATTTTGACAAACTATAAGTGACTTATTGATTTATTTATGAGTTATTCAAATTAATTACCATATTAACAGATTGTGAACAATGTTTTCAAATTATAAACTCTTAATTTGTATTCTTTATGTATTACGAGAAGTAGTCTATTCATCGGATTATTGTTCAAAGTTTGGCAGACATTTACTGCAACATCAGTGCGAACTCTATATTAAAGAATTTTATATAACTTATTTTAGATTCAAATCATGATAATTAAAAACACTAATGAGCATTTATTTTTGATTAAAATGAAAAACATTGGGTATTATACTGTAAAGTAATATTTGTGAAATCCTGAAAATAAAATGAATTATGAGTTTAGTATTTAAAGATCTCAAGATATATGACTAGAAATATATCCATAAAACTCAATATTCAGACACAGATATTAATTATTGCGAAATTAGTGGTTATATTTGAAGGACTTATAATTTTGTATTAAGTTGTAAATACCGGTACTGGTGCTTAAACATGTAATACAAATTCGCAAAAAAAACTATTTAATCTCAAGTATTTTGTATGGAATAAACCCCCAAAATGTAATTTAATAGGAACCCCACATTTCAAAGTAATGCCATTAGCAAGTCATCAAAAAAGCTTATTTAATTTTTTGGATTAACTTTTACCATGGATTTATTGAATATTCCTCAGGAGTTTTAAATTATGAACACAAAACTTATGACTGTTTTTTCCACAACCGATTCATTATTATAACACAAATTGATAATCATTACTAGTATATGAAAAGTTGTCTTATCTTAAAAATCAAATTTAAAAAGTCTGATAAATGCTATCACTCATTGTCCAAACAAATTGTCAAAAATATTTTATATTTTATGTATGCATTGAATAAATAATGTGAATGAAAAAAAATTAATATGAAATAAGACTTATTAATATGAGAAACAACAAAAGCAAAACTTTATCTTAAATACAGATCAGATGCCATAAATCATATCCAACTGCTTTGTTAAAAGTTTTAATAATTCACTAAAATTTAATGTATTAAAAGCTAATCCAATTTGAGATTATCGTAAATCATTTTCATACGTGAAATCAGTATTATTTTGTGTTAGTTATGGATATAAAAGTCAAATTGATTAGGAAAAATTTAAAAATAAATAAGAATTAATACAATTTTCAAGTACAAGGGCTAAAAAATTCATTAATTCATTAGGCGTTTCAAATGGGGGTTTGGATTACATTTATTGCTATTCTCTGAATGTAAGAGTTGCTATGGATTTATATAACTTTCGTTTTTAGGCACTCAATTCAAATAGTATATCAATATATCTGAAATTCTGGAAAACCTAATTAAAATTCATAGACCACTCAAAATTGTCTATCTTATCATTAGATTGTGTTTTTTGCACTTATTTTGTATGGAAAGCTTGGACTGAATTTTACTGATGAGGAGCTCCGAAGAGGGAGAGCGAGTGATGTGTGAAAGAAAAAGAGGGGAAAGGAGTCCAATATCAAGGTCTTATGGGATGCCTGTCAAGGATGAGATTCTTGTGGTATATAAGGTGGCGACAGAGTCTCACAAAAGTCATCACATCATCTAAAAAGCAATTTTAGTTTTTCACGAATTCCTTCCGATTTCAACTGACTCCACAAAAATGAAATTTTTGGTGAGTTTTGTCATTTGAAATGAGCTTCGAGTTGAAAATTAATTGATTATTTTGTGATGAACTAGGTCGCACTCGCAATCTTAGCTTTGGTGGGAGCCACCATTGCCAACTCCGTCGGCAGCTACTACGGTGGCTATGGACTCGGTGGCTATTATGGTAACGGATATGGATATGGAAATGGTTATGGATATGGTCAGCCATCTAATTGTTAAACAATTTTATCACTAATTATATATTTTATAGTAAATTAATTTCTTGTTATCTTCATAGGCTATCCCGCTTATAGTGGTTATGGTTATGGCAATGGTCTGGGCTATGGTTATGGCAATGGATATGGATATGCAAAGAGCTACGGTGGTCTTGGCTATGGCTTAGGTAACTACGGATACGGCAATGGATATGGTTATGGCGGTTTGGGATACGGAAGAGGATACTACGGAGGTCTTGGATACGGAAAGTCATATGGTGGATACTCATCCCCATACTATGGTGGCTATTACGGTGGATATGGTTCTTACTACAAGAAGTAAACTTAATACTCATTAAACATTTCATATAATATTTGTATAAAACTGTTGAGCAAACTGTTGAACACAAACATCAAAATTTAAATTGCTGTTAAAATGCTTTTTAATTGTATTTCTTTTGTAAAATTCATAAGAATTTTGTTTAAAAAATTCGATTAAAATAGACTTTTTTATTAACTTTTACAATGGCTTAAAATTATTACAATTTTGAATACTTGAACGGAAACTGAATTTTAAGACACTTCTGTTGATTGAAAATTATTACTTTTTGGATGTCCGGCCATAGTATGCAAACATAGACTTTGCTTTGGGATTCAGTCCAATAATCATGTGGCTTCTCAGTCCCCTCCAGATATGCTTTTTATTCATAGGTTTTATATTTCGTATGATAGTGTCGACGCCTTTATTGTCCATAAACTCCGAGTCCTCTTCATTGTCCATTCGCGGCATTTCCGACACATTATAGGGCGGCAGTCGAGCGATCATATTATTTAACGTGTTTGCAAAATACAACTGTCCCGTGTGTATAGTGCGGTCACCATAATGACTTTGCATGTGGATGTGAGTGGCCCGACCCCCATACCAACCTTATAATGAAAACAGTGGTAGTCGTTAAAAATTATTTAATACAATAATAAAGTTTATATTACCCGGATATATAGTCTTAAACCATGCTACTCCATTCTCATCGGTATACTGCCGGCCCCTAAGGAAAGTGGTGTTATCGGTGGGAGGTTCGTGATAATCACTGTTGGGAATGGCGTTTATGTAACTGGAATAGAGTCCCTGTGCATCGCAATGCCATATATCAAGTGATACATTGACTAAAGGTTCGCATGTTTTAGCATTTGTAAGGGTAAACTTTAATTTTAAGGGTAACCCCTCCCGACCCTCCCTGATATCATGACGAACCAGATCTAGGGGTAGATAATAAGGCCCTTCAATGGCTTCCGGTGTGAGTTCGCACTGATGTTGCAGTAAATGTCTGCCAAACTTTGAACAATAATCCGATGAATAGACTACTTCTCGTAATACATAAAGAATACAAATTAAGAGTTTATAATTTGAAAACATTGTTCACAATTGAGTTCGCACTGATGTTGCAGTAAATGTCTGCCAAACTTTGAACAATAATCCGATGAATAGACTACTTCTCGTAATACATAAAGAATACAAATTAAGAGTTTATAATTTGAAAACATTGTTCACAATTTGTTAATAAGGTAATTAATTTGAATAACTCATAAATAAATTAATAAGTCACTTATAGTTTATCAAAATGTAAGACAAATTGTAAAACAGGATGTGATGTAATGACACAATTCATAAGAATTTTAATATATTATCAATTATTTTCACAAAAATAATAAAAAACTTTAAATAAATCCTGAATAAATACACTGATAAGAATCTTATTCATAATTATGACAATAATTTTCATAGCATTTACAAAACCTTTATTTATTTATTTACCATAAATACAGTATAAATTTATATTTATTTAATTGAAAAAAAATTAATTCAAATTAGGGGTTTGCCATTATTTGCATACAATCATGAACTGAATTGTAAATTATCTGGATGATCTCCCATAGAGTGCATTCGGCGACTCAGTATTTGGATCCAAACCGATAATTATTTCTCCCGACAAACCATTAGAAAGTCTTTTGCCTTTTAATTGTCTAATTTTGTAATAACTGAGTTGTATCTCAAAAGTTTTTGGTACAGTTATGCTAAGATATTATCAAATCAAAGCCATCCTAACCACTGATATCTATTGCCAATCGCTGTCACTATCGGATGAAACTAAACAGAAACTAGAGTTTTATAATCAAATATCTGTGATTTTGGCCGTAATTATCAGTCTATCGCTGATATCTGTGGCCTCATTCCGGGTGATGGAGAGCGTAAAGCTTCACACATTGGGTGCACTCATGTTCTTCGGGTGCGGACCACTTCTGTACGCCATTCACACGCGGATCTCCTTCTGGTTGAGTCCACTCATAAACACCGTATTTGTGGCCCATTTGAGACTCATGTTGACAGTTGTCTCACTCGTATCTATAGTGATATTATGGGTGTTCACCATTTGGTCGTTCGTCTTATTTAAGAAGGGATTTAGATCTGAAGATAGACTGAAGTGGACATCGGATGACGGCGGGTATGTTCAGCACGTCATAGCGTCCGGTGCCGAGTGGGTGTACTCCCTGTTGGTGTCCCTATATTTTGCTACATTTGTGAGTGAAATACAAAAACTAAAGTTTGTCAGAAATGCTACTTTTGAATATGTCTTAATAGTTAGTCCTCAATAGACGTGCATTTATTGTGAATAAAATATTGTAATTAATTGATATTTTTGTGTATAATTTTTATAGTTAATATTTATTTGACTAAAATACTAGTAACTGTAATACACATAGTGTTTAAATAAATCACTGTTAAGAAATTAATGAAATAAAATATTTATTTACGGACATCCAGACGACAAGGACTATAGTGTCGATTGGGTACCCAAATCGATGTCCGGTTTGAAATGATTGACACATTTGTGGTTAGGTTTACCGAAATGTGTATTGAATGAGAGCTTCTTTGACTCAATGAAAACACAATCAATTTTTATTGATAGAGATTCCAATGAAGTTTGATTTGATCTCATGCTTAATATGGGACCAGAGATTACACCGACTATTGAGGACATTCCAGAAGTTACCAAAACTTAAATGCCTTCCCTTTGATCTCATTGACAGCATATGGTTCTAGTGATTGGAAACAAACACGGCTTAAAAGTGCTGTCAAGTGATCTCCAAATATTTGCAGTTTAATAAATAAATTTTTGAAAAAATATACTGTATTTTGAGATTTTTAAATTTCATAATTATTTTGCATTAATGTTGCAAATAGTAACTTAAGTTTTTCTCATTTTATTAACCATTTATCACAAAACAAATTCATTTTATTCATAAATATTAGTATGAAAATCATGTCAAAACAATTCTGTTATCATATGTTATCATTCGGACTCTTCGGGAAACTGTCTCTCGAGATCGATGTCAACCATCTCTTTATTTGTGTGATTGAAGTGTATTATCTCTGCCACACCTCTGATGGTTATATATGGTTAACCCTATGGACCAGATAATGAGGTACGCGATAAACAACATCCAGTTGTTAGTATTAATAATTGTAGTATTTTTAATTATAATTATAGTGTACATTTAATTGACTAAAATAATGTAGTAAATATAGTATTTAAATTAAAGCCCAGTAACAATTAAATCATAAATTATTATTCAGCGATCAGTGATCACAGGACAGTCAGCACCTAATAGCATACCAAACTTGTATCTCATTAGTAAATTAAATCAAATCTTATTAAAAACATTTTGTGTGAATTAATTTAAAAACTACACAAAGAGAGTGAATATTAATTATAAACGTGATTTCTAGCAATTAAATGATTTATAAAATGAACTCTCTAAGTTTACAACTAATCAAATAGAAATTTGTAAGTTTGACATTTACAGCATAGATAAGATTTTAAAACAAAAATTTCATAAATAATTTATAAAATCTAAATTTATAAATAATGTCAATAAATATAAAGTTTATCAAAATATGCTGGGTACACTTGGACTACATAGTCCACCGCAATTCCAATTCTGAACACAATCCTTATCCTTTGAACATTTGATCCAATTATGATCGCCATTAGTGGTAAGGGTCTGATAACACCAGCCAAAGCCACAGTAAGTCCAGCACCACTTGTTATGACAGCCGCACCCGTTATGACCCGTACACCGTTTCAGTAGTTGACGATTTGTAAAGTTACCTTTCAATTGCATATTATTGTCCATACTTTTGGCCATTATTATCGCAGTTAGTAATAGCATTGAAAATATTACAATATATTTAGGAAACATATTGGTTCATTTGAATGCAGGTAGCCTTAATTTAAACTAAACTTATCTCGTCAAATTATCTACTAAATATTGAGTATGATTTTATTTTTATATCAAATATTTATAGTTTAATTAGGAATTACAGTATAAATTATATTAAAATGTATGCTTATTTAATGTATTAATTTTTTTATGTTCAATTTATTTATATAAACAGGAATAGTGTTAAATATTATTTCGTGTTTTAAGCTTAAAACTTGTGTAAATTTGAATAAATATTTATATCCAATACTTGTCACCAATCATTTCATGGACTCCTCTTACTATACACTTTTATAAAGTAAGTTATAAAATATATTGAAAATCGTAATATGTTTTGAACCAAATATAATACAGTATTAGCACTAAATTTAGGGAAAGTGTTACGTTTGTGGGAAAATGTGATCTCAATGTTAAATATTTCTGTATTAGAAATATCGCATTAAAATATCATGCGATCCGTCAAAACAACTTAAATGACATTAAAAAATATTTCACGAATTCATTTGGAAAATATATAATTAATTATACAGAATATTGTGATTAAATTAGACTTTTTTCTTAAAATCAAAAATATATTTTCTCATGTTATTTAGGAAATCATAAAATTACACTTTAATTAATATAGTTTTTTATTTGTTAATTTAAAAATTAAAAGCTTTTTATTTGTGACTTCTTTTTTATTAATTGTAAATTCATTTGTTATTTAAATATAAAAATAACTAAAACTCTCAAATAAATGTTATATTAAAGAATTTTATATAACTTATTTTAGATTCAAATCATGATAATTAAAAACACTAATGAGCATTTATTTTTGATTAAAATGAAAAACATTGGGTATTATACTGTAAAGTAATATTTGTGAAATCCTGAAAATAAAATGAATTATGAGTTTAGTATTTAAAGATCTCAAGATATATGACTAGAAATATATCCATAAAACTCAATATTCAGACACAGATATTAATTATTGCGAAATTAGTG